AAATATGCATGAACCCCCCCAGCCAACAAAAGAGCCGACCTACCAAAGCCTCGTTCGTAGCTTGTACCTTGTACGACGTACGAGACCTCACCAGGCGTGATAATCTCCCCTTTGTCCTCGCCGGCTGCCAGAATACCACTGGCCTTATAATATTTCTGTCTGTCCTCCTTAACTCTCCCGTGCCAGTTTTTGTCCGCGTTTGACTCGTGGCGTCGAGATTTTTGTTAAACTTTAGTTAGTTTCGTTCGTTTGATTCGTTTGTTGATTTTTTTTTTATTGTGGGTTTCTTTTTTGGGGGGAGGGGGTAATTTTTTTTTCGGAGAGGGGGGGGGGAGGTTGTGGAGGAGCAAATTATATTCTTGACTCCAAAAAAATCCTTTCAAGTTTCCAGAATTTCATTTATGTATTATTTTATTGCCTTTATAACATCATCGTAGAGTGTCATTCTTTCCTTACCAAACTTTCTTAATTGTGGGCACTAGAGGGTTAAGAGCTACCAGCACAGCTAGCTTTTCATGTTTCGTTGTGGTTGAGAAAGAGAATTTTGTCAGGTACCGACAATTGAACGTGGAAAATTTCTTATAAAAAATACTAGAGCTTGAGGGAACCTAATAATCTAAAGATCAATTTGAATTGGATAGCTTACTGATAACAATTTTCGATTGGCTTGTACTAGATCTATTCTTGCGTACACATGACGTACACACGCATAAACACGACATACACACACCTAGACATGACATACACACGCATAGACATGACATACACACGCATAGACATGACATACACACACATAGACATGACATACACACACATAGACATGACATACACACACAGACATGACATACACACACATATACATGACATACACACACATAGACATGACATACACACGCATAGACATGACATACACACACATAGACATGACATACACACGCATAGACATGACATACACACACATAGACATGACATACACACGCATGAACTGACATACACACGTATAGACATGACATACGAATACTATTCAACTTTTTTTTCATTTCACACATAGACACACAACAGTATATTAATGTGTCTTATACAGGTAGCTGTGTGTACAGGTGATTGTCTTATACAGGTAGATGTTTGTACAGGTGATTGTCTTATACAAGTGGTTGCTAGAGCAAATTTGACTTTTTTTGTTTGTGGTAATTATCAAATGGTCGCTTTTAAAGACAGGCAGGCTAACCCAAATGTCAGGGGTTTCCAGAAATCTTGACCTGCACCAAAAGTGGGCATTGCCCTACCTATAGGAGAAGTTTGGTTTCATTGGTGTGTTTATTTTAGGTTATTGACAAAACGCTCTTTGTATTTTAAAGAAACTGAACAAGGGGCAAAAACTTTACCTTCGGTTTTCTCAAAACAGCATTTTTCGGGATAGCCTCCTGTGCTTAAAAGCGACCAAAATGATCATGTTTGAGCAGATATGGCTTTTTTTTGTTGTAATAGTCAAATGATTGGTCGGAACAGATTTTGGCTTATTTTACAATAATCAAAAGATCTGCTAGAATAGAGTTTGGCTTATTTTGTAATAATCAAATGATTGGTTAGAGCAATTTTTGCTTTATTTTGTAATCAAATTATCCGTTTCAGCAGATGTGGCTTTATTATGTAATAATCAAATGATCTTTTTTCAGATTTGACTTTATTATGTAATAAACAAATTATCTTTATTGAGTAGATTTGTCTTTTTTTTTTTTTTTAAATGTTGATCAGTGTGAGCAGATTTGTCTTTATTTTGTAATAATCAAATTATCTGTTAGAACATATTTTGTCTTTTTTTTGGGTATTAATCAAATGATTGATCAGAACAGATTTTGTCTTTATTTTATAATAATTAACTGATCGGTTTTGTCCCCCCCCCCTCCTCAGGTTCTTGAAGTACATCCGGTCATGCGCGCTGACCAGGAACTGGACTCTGTGCGTGCTGCTGGTGGTTATGGTCAGTGTTGGGTGCCTGAGTGTGGTCAAGTGGTCAATCCTGTACCTGCAGCAGATCCCGCAACTGCCCGAGGGAGATAACCCACATGATTACAAGTAATGTTGAGAGAGACAGTGAGAGAGAGAGGGAGAGAGAGAGAGAGAGAGAGAGAGAGAGAGAGAGAGAGAGAGAGAGAGAGAGAGAGAGAGAGAGAGAGGTATGCATTATACAATCATACAAAGTCATTAATAAAAAGGAAAAGATGTCGAAACAGCTACTGGGTAAAAAAAAATGATGCGTATTCTTACTCTTCATAATTTTCAGTTTATATGCATAACAATTCATTTATGTATTATGTTTGCCTTTAATGACTGTCTTGCTTGCTTCGGTCGGCTATTAGTTTTGCCGCCAAAACACCCTATAACCCGAACAAATAAACCCTTCACACCCTGCTATCCCACCAAATCAACATCTTTTATCTCACCCCATGACCCCTAATTTTCAAGACCCCTTATTTTCCCGGTCCCTCTTTCCCCCTACCCCCTTATTTCCCAGACTCATCGGGTCTGATTTTCACGCAATGATTTCATTTTTGCATCATTAGATATCTATTTTGAAATCACTGAACGCTAGGTTATTTGTGAGGCAGCGCGGTGGAATCAGGCGCTCGTCACTTTTGGGGCTTGTGGAGTCATTGGTGTAATCTTAAAGCGTGTTCGCTTGGCTCGCCTTGGGCGAAAACAATACACGTCTATCTTGAATAGAAGTCAGAAATG